ACTATATAGCAGAGGATGAACCTGAACTTCTGATGCCTCCATCTCTTACTGGGATTTCAGGTGTGTGGCACCACCCTTGACGTATTTTGGTGCTGAGGTTTGAGCCCAGGGCTTCCTGTATCCTGGGTAAGATCTCTGAGCCACATCACTGTCCCTAAAGGCCTGATTTTGAAAGCTGCTACTTGACTTGCTGATTTGTTCCATTTTAAAAGGTTAAATGAACTTTGGCTTGGTGGATGTGATGGTTTGCAACTCAAGAGGACCTAGAATCAATCATCCAGGAAAGGAGCCTCTGGGCATGCCTGTGGGATTGGTCTTCATTAGGATAATTGAAGCAGGACCCAGGATGATAAAAGGAGAAAGTGACCTGAACACTAGGTTCATCTCGGCTTTCTCATTGCACATGCAAGGTGAGGAGCTGCCTCAAGCTCAGAGACTGCGAGCCCAAACCCTGCCTTCCTCAAGGTCTTTGCTGGGTATTTTGTCACAGCAACAAGAAACTACTAGTACTGATTAGGACAGACTGGTCATCAGTTTCTGAAATAGGCCTCTTCCAGTTTGATCAGTTGCTGTGAGATACCGTGACTAAAAGCAACTTAGGAAGGAAAGGTTTGTTTGGTTTACATTCTATGTCACAGTCCATCACAGGAAAGACAGAGCAGGAACTGAGGCAGAAACCAGGGAGGAATGCTGCCGTCTGGCTCCTCTCCTGGCTTATGCTCACTCAGCTACTTATAAAGCCCGGGAGCACCTGCCTGTACTGTCCTCGGTGGACCGCGGCCCTTCCTTCCTACATTAATTAGTATCAAGACAGCTGTCCCACAGACATGACCACAGGCCAAGCTGATAAAAGCAATTCTTTTATTTTTAGAGACAGGGTTTCTCCATGTAGTTTTGGTTCCCATCCTGGATCTTGCTCTGTAGACCAGGCTGGCCTTGAACTCACAGAGATCCGCCTGGCTCTGCCTCCGGAGTGCTGGGATTAAAGGTGTTTGCCACCGCCACGCGGCGTAATTTTTTTCAAGTCTTCAAAAACATTTTTTTGAGATTTTATTTTTATGTGTATGTTTGCCTGAATGTACATATGTGCACCATGTGTACTGTCCCCATAGAGGCCAGAAGAGGGCGATGGATCCCTTGGGACTGGAGTTACAGTTGTTAGCGGCCACGAGGGTGCTGGGAATCGAACCCACCAGTTTCTCTGGGACAGCAGCCAGTGTCTGCACCACTGTGCCTCTCTGCAGCCCCCAAAGCAGTTCTTCAGTTGGGACTGACTGCCTCTTCCAGGTGATTCTAGGTTGTGTCAAGTTGACAAAACTGACCAGGCTACATCTGCCATTTTGTACTACATATTTATGTGAAGCAGTATACTCAGCATTGACAATTAATGAAATCTAAACATTAATTCTGAAAAATACTGGAGGGCCTACATTGTAAACTATCAAATATCCAGCTAAGAAATATATAAAAATAAATCCATCTCATTGATAGGAAAAAAAAAATTTTTTTTTTTGAGACATTGTCTCATTATGTAGCCTTGGCTGGACTGGATGCCTCAATCTTTATTAAAGAATTTTAGGGCTGGAAAGATGACTCAGGGGTCAAGAGCACTGGCTGCTCTTCAGAGGTTCAATTCCCAGCAACCACATGGTGGCTCACAACCATCGGTAATGAGATCTGGCGCCCTCTTCTGGTGCGCAGGCATACATGCAGAACACTCATACATAAAATATAAATACATAAAATTAAAAAAGGAATTTTATTTAAAAGAAGTTTCTTGGGCTGTGGAGATGGCACATGAATGCATCCAGGTGCCCTGTACCAAAGCTTGGTGCAGTTGTGAGTGCCTGTAATCCCACACTGGGGAGGCAGAGACAGGGGAACGCTTGGACTTGCTGGCCAGCCAGTATGACTGAAATGGCAAACTCCAGGTTCTGTGGAGAGTGACTTAAACACTCACCATTGAACCCTGGTTCACATGTACCCAGCACACACACATACACAACTACAGATCTGTGAGTCCAGTAAATGTTTGATTTGCATATTTCATGTTCTGGGCATGCAGGCCATGAATTCAGCTGAAGAGAGTTTGTGAGAAAGTTTAAGAAGCCATGTGAGTTGTCATGGTGCATGTATTTAGTCCCAGCAGAGGCAGACAGATCTCTGTAAATTTGAGGCCAGCCTGGTACACATAGTGAGTTCCAGGACAGCCAGGGCTACACAGAGAGATCCTGTCTCAAACAGCCTTGGGGGGGGGGGGGGGGGGGGGGGGGGGGGGGGGGGGGGGCTGTGACAGGCTCCTGACTAGACTGGCCTCTTGTCTCTGGTCTGGTAATCCTTCCAATGCACTACTGTCAGAAGTTTTTTTTGCTAGCAAAAGCTTTCTTCTTTTATCTTAGTATTTTTGAGAGTGTCTTTTGTAGACCAGACTGCCCTCCAGTTCACCCTATAGTCCAGGATGGCCTTGAACTCCTGATCCTCCTGCCTCTATTCCTCTGCCCTGCTTTAGTTTTGTTTGTTCCTTTTGAGACAGGGTCTTACTGTGTAACCCAGGCTGTCCTTGAACTCCCCATCCTCCTGTCTATGCCCCTCCAGTTGCTGGCCGACCTGACTCATTCCTTTACTTAAGCCCTTTTGATGACTTACATAGTGTAGACTGAAGCTTGCCTTGCTGAGGCAGGCCTTCCCCACGGCCTCTGCCTCCCCTCAGCCCCAAGTACTATTCTTTTTTGGCTCTCACTGGTGTTTGACTTCCTTAAGGCCCCATATGCCCAGGAAATTCCTACGTGTCTGCAAAAGTTCAGTTCCAATAACTCCTCTAAGACACTAGTTTGGATTGGGTGTGCCTGGTCTCTCGTCTCAAAAGCCCAGTTTCTGCTGGCTCTTCTGTCTCCTGTTCCTAGGAGAAATAGGAACCAACTGACTCAGTTCTGTTGTGTAGACCTAGACTCCAAGGAACAGCATGGACTAAGCCTGGAAGGGGGCTTGTGTTGGCCCTTTGAAGGCCTTTGTACTTTATGTGGTGAGCTGTGGAGGACCATCAAGGGGTCGGTCAGATCATCAACAGGGCCGAAGATGGGAGGCTACTCTGGAGAAGGGCAGGCGGAAGCGAAAGGAGAGAGCCAGCTGTTAGCACCGTTGCATAAGAACAGGCAGCAAGTGTCAGGAGCACAGTACACTCTGTGAGTCCAGAGAGCTCTGGGTGTCACACTATCATGCTTCAAACAGTCAGGGCTCCGTGACTGAGGGGGAAAGTCACTGCACTGGTCAGGATAGGACAGTGACAGGGCAGGTTTCATTTCTACTCACATAAAGCTTCCCTGCGGTAGCTTAGCAACCCAGGCTCTTTTACATATGTACGTGTGTAGGTGTTTTCCCCGCATTCATGTCTGTGCACCACTGGCATGCAGTGTTTGTAGAGGCCAGAAGAGGGCGTCAGACCCCCAACCCAGACTGCTTTGATACGCGGCACTTCACACTGACATGCTCTTCCACAACGCTCAAGACAGGGAAACAGCAGGGATCACCTGTGCTTCAGAAGGGACACACATCACAGCTCATTAGTCCACTGGCCAGAACCGGCCCCAAGATCCCACTGAACTACACAGGGACTGAGAAAACACCAGGAGAGGGAACAGGAAGTCTCTGTGAACAACAGGAAGGCTTATCCCGATACCTTCTAGGAAGGAAGAGCAGGCCAGTCTGAGGTGGATGGGAGATGCACTGAGCAGAAAGATTTTGCCAAGCTTTTGCCTTGTGAGGTCACCTCGGAGAAGAAGTCCTTCCCCTGGGCATGGCTGAGCTGGGCAGTACATCTTACCCGTAGGTCCTTTCCTGGAGCAACTTCTGGAAAAGTTAGGCAGCTATACTGCTGGAGGAGATGACCTCATTCGAATGGCAGCTGGTAGGAGGCCGTGAGTCCTTGGCATGTGGGCTTTTCACAGGGCTGGTGTACAGCTTAACATAAGGACAGGTAACAGGAGCAGCAGAAGCCACACTTCCCATTCTAAAGGACATACCATGAACTGCCGCCTTCTTCTATTGGTCACTCAGTGTGGTAACAAAGGCATGGATGCAGGCATAGTGGGGGCCACTGTGGGAGCTGCTGATAGCCTCTGGAGGGCAGTGATATCTTTTTCTATTAGACAGGGTCTCATAACCCTATGGAGCTGAGGATGACCTTGAACTTCTGATTCTCCTGCCTATACTTAGAATTACTAGTGTGTGCTACTATGCTTTTATGTGGTACTGGAGACTGAATTAGGCAAGCATTCAATCAACTGAGCTACAGCCCGAGCCTAGAGGACAATATCATATTAACCCTTCCTTAGTCAGGACAGCATCTCTTTGCCACTGCTAAGGAAGACGTGAGGTGAAATCCAGTGACCTTGTGAGAAAGCCAGGGCCACCACAGATGGTAAGTATTTTGCAATATGGAAATCTGAGGCTCGAGGACATTCTGTGCCTTGCCTGACTTGACTCCTGTCCTCTCACAGCAACCCTGTCAGGAGACCGGGCCATCTTAACACTGTAGGGCAGTCTAGCCACCGAGCAAAGGCCCTCACTCACTCTGCTGCTTCAGCACATGACAAGAACCAGGTGCAGAGCAGTTTCTCAGGCTTCCACAGTTGCCGAATCTGCTGACAGCCCGGCTGTGCTGTGAGGAGGAGGGGGCACGGTGCTGTGCCGAGGGGCACTGGAGGACTCTGAAGGTGCGCTCCACCTGGCTAACTGTACCAAGGGAAGTCAGCTAAGAAAGACTTCCAGTGGGAAGGGTGGCCCTAACCCTAGGAACATTCATTTTTCCTGTTTGCAGGATCCCTTTCAAGGCTTCTACCTGGACCGCCTCTCCACAGTCCTGGGGCTGCCTCTACCTTAAGAGTGCCCGAGAAGCCTGACATCACTCCCTCACAGCCTGCCCTCCGACAGCCACTCACTCTGCTAGGGACACCAGGTCTTCCTCCCCCGACTCGCCGCACCAAAGAAATCCAAACCCAAGCTGAGGTATCAGAAACGTGTTCCTTTTTCTTTTAATAGTAAACCTCTTTACAACAAATATAGGAAAGACTTTTCAAACCAAGCTCGTAAGAATCTCGAGGACTTTGTCTCTTCTTAATGTGCAGAATACTAGAAAGCATCACCGTACAGCACGGAAATAATGAAAACAATTCAACAACCACACACTTGGACTCACCCTGCCCCAAGACCCAGGAGCCAGGAGTGTGGGTGATTGTCAAGTTTGGGGATGGGCCACCTCTTGGCTGGCCCCACCCCTCCCTACTTCCCTCTCTCCGGGACTTGAATGGGGTAGAGAATTCAGACCCTCCTTGGGAATCTTGGCCCTCCTGCCCCATTAAGTCCCATCCCTCTGCTAAAGCAGGAGGCAGAAGGGGGTAGAAGGGGCGCCCAGCCTCCAGGAGAGCCTACATTCCCCCACAGGGGGTTCCAGAGTCGGTTAAAAATATAGAGAGATAGAGAGATTTTGAGATACTTTTACATCATTTCTGTCTCTCCAAACAAATAAATAATCAGCAAGAGAAGGTGCATCTTTCTTCTTTCCTGTCCAAGGTGGGGAGGGGTGGTTGAGTGCACTGCCGGGGGCTGAGGGAATGTGTTCCACTGAGGCATGTGGGCATGGCCCTCGGTCCCACTATCCCTGAAAGCCGAGGGAAACCTGGGTGGGAAGGGCACTGGATGACGCCAGAGGCTACTTTGGCAAATACCCAGTTTTGCAGAGGGAGTGGAAAGGAGGCAAATTTGGCTTGTGAGAGGAAGAAGGTAAGTCCTCATTTGAGGTCTGGGTTCCCAGGGATCCATTACCTGGCCAGCCAGAAGCCCCTACACAGCCCCAGGAGAAACCCGGAGATACTGAACTGCAGGAACGCCACATACTCATTCACAGACTGTCCCTACTGTCAGGGACAGAGATGAGCGCGCACACACACACACACACACACACACACACACACTCACGGCAATCAGAAGCCAGGTTTGCTTTCAGGAAGCAGATGGCAAACTGCTGAGTGGCACACTGTGAACTTCGGGGGCCTCATCCCAGTTTGTGTCATGGTGGCCAAGCTCAGCCTAGAAAGGTGGGCCTGAGAAGGAAGAGGCCAGTGATTCCATATTTATTGAGCACCTATCATTCACCCACTCACCATTTACTGAGGGCCTACAATGTGCCAGCTGCTTTCAAAGGGAGTGTATGTGCACAGGACTACACCCTGGCTTCTTTCAAAACCTTAAGCAAGTCTTCAAACTCCCTCTAGGAACTGTGAGGAGGGGTGGGAAGACAAGGCATGTATGTGACACCCTTGCCTGGTCAGCTACTGGGGTAAAACTCCGGGTAAATATGGAAAGCAAAGCTCCTAGGAGGAAGAGGAACTTGAGTCTGCTCCACAAACAAGTCAGAACTCCAGGGCCAGAACTGGTCTGGGTGGGACTAGTGGACAGCCATATGGAGGCAGAGCTCCTGGAGTGAGGCCCTGTGGAGGTAGGCTGTGGGGAGAAGCGGGGTGGCCAACTAGCAACTCCCTACAACTCCAGTACAAATGTTTCAGGACCGAGAGCAGCCCAGGGAAGCGAGGAGTGAGAGCCACGGTTGGAAGCCACCTACCCCTGTGTGAATACACCCAGCCACACAGACACAGAGGCCCTTGGAGCCTGAGTCACACAAGATTTGAGAACACACCCACTGGACTCAGAGGCACTCAAAGGTACACCCACACAGCTGCACACAAACACATAAACACAGGGTGCACCCAGATCCGCCCGCATGAGCATGCTCACACCCTCTGCTGCTGGCTCCTTCCCTGTATCAAGCGTCAAAATACTTCGAAAGGCTGGGTCACAGGTGGGCAAAGACATCTTCCTACAGCACTGAGCCTTGTCTTCCTCTACCCTCCAACTGGGAGGAAGCTCCAAGGGAGTGTGTGCTGTCTCCAGTCCCCTTCCTGGGGGAGGAGGCAGAGGGGAGGGGTGGTGACAGAGAGCAGGCTGGGGGTGTTCTATTCCCTCCAGTTTGATCTCAGATTCAGCAAGAGGCCCAAGGACCCGATGCTTGCACTTGCACTGCCCCGGTGCTTGCCTGAGGCCCCTGAGGAGGCGACAAAGCACAGGTCTGGAGAGGAAGGCAAGAAGAAGAGCAGAAGAATCCCATCTGTACAGTACGGGCCATTTGAGTCATTATTATTACAATATACTTTGACAAAAATAGAATCTCATTTCATATCAATACAACAACAACAACAAACAACACAACAGTTTCCTGGACTGTTAACCACTAACATTTCGGAAGGTCGCTATTTACAATTACAGTAGCAAGAGGGCAGGTTTGGGGCGTGGCCTGGAGGTGGAGGGACAGGAGGTAGCGAGACAAGGAGCAGGCGGCGAAGAGCTGGGAGGTGGTCAGGGGCAGGAGCTGACTGGGGAGGGGCCTCAGGGGCCTCATCTCTCGGGACCTCTAGCTCCACAGACCATGCTGTGTGCCCAATGTGCACTTTTCCGGGTATGGGTACACAAAGCAGAGATGCCCTCCCCATGCCTGCCCCTGACCAGCCTCTGGCCCTCAGTGCCCCAGGGAACCAAAGGCTGACTCTGGCCCACCCTGGGGCCACTTCTGAAGGTCCTCTCCCCAACTCTTCCAGTACATGGCCAGCTTTCTAGGGCTGGGGTAGACTGAGGGATGGGGAGCTATTGCACTGTACATCTTAAAGGGAAAGCCAGGGGTAGGGCCCCGGGTCACCACACCCAGTCCTGCCCTCATCCGCCCTCTTTCTACAGCTCTCTCTCTCTCAAGTCACTTCCAGAGAGGTTCCCACCTCAAGCCCCCGCCCTGGCCTCAGATTCCCAGGCAGCCTTCCTAGCACCCAGATCTTGGGGTGCAGCACACAGATTCAGAGAGTGTGGCGTGTCTGCAGGAAGCTGGAGGGACCAAGATGGGTTATTTGCCGTGAACAGCCCAGAAACAGAGTTTCTGCCTCTTCCTGTCCGAGACGCAAACCCACCATCGAGCCAGCTCCGGGGTTTCAGTCTACTGTCCGGGTTTTTGTTGTTGGATAGTTTTTGGTTCTTTACGTCTATCTGGGAATGGGATGGGAGGGCTCCACATGCAGGGCTCGGCACCTGTCCTTCTCCAAGGCCTACCGCCCCCCCTTCCTGCAGCATATGTGTACAACGTGCAAAGTGTCCCCCCCCTTTCCCGCAATAAAGAGAGTTCCCCACCAGTGAAAATGGTAGGGCCAAGAAAGGGGCAAGAGCAACCCTCTCTCTAAAGCGAGAGTTCGAATTTAAAAATATAATAATAATAATAATAATAATAATAATAATAATATAATTATACACAAATGTAACCATCAACAGGACATGGAGCAGAAGAAAGGAAGTGGGGGTCGAGCGGGAGGAGCCCAGGGCAGGGAGGGGTGGGCGGTGAGATTGTCAACTCTTCATCAGGGAAGCTGAGAGGAGGGAGTGGGAACCGTCACTTTAATGTCTGTGAAGAGAGGAGATGGAGAAGGTGATGTGAGGGGAAGTGTGGCCTACAGGATGCACCCCAACCCTCTCCCAAGGGGTTAAACTCTAGGGCAAGGCCAGCTGGGGGTCACTGAGCAGGGGCAATGCTGCAGGGAGAGTCCAGGGCTGCGAGAACTGACCCAAGAGGAGTGCCGGCCACAAGGCCTCTCAGGTGGGAAAGAAAGCAGGCTGAGTGCATGTGGGGCAGTCCCCGGGTGACGCGGACACTGGCAGACAGAAGGGCAACATTACAGTACCCAAGTATCCAGCCGCATCCTCTTCACAGCTGAGCCGTCAGCCTCAGGCTCTGGGGCTGGGCGCAGCAGGCCCAGTGTGGGCCCAAAGTCCCCCCGTCCATCATCCCGGTCCCCGGTCTCATAGGGTCCTCCAGCTGGGCTGCTGAGACCTTCGCCAGGCTCAGGGCGGGCAGCTGGAAACACAGCTGGTGGAGGAGGTGCAGGGCTGCGCTCGCGGCTTGGGGACACTGGTTCTGACTTGATGCTGATGTGGGGGTGCGTGGTGACGGTGAGGGCAGCACCCACATGGGGCAAGGGGCTGCCTGGGCTGGAGTTCAGGGGTCAGAGACACAAGAGGCAGTAACAGAAAAGTGGGCAGAAGTCACCAAAGGTGAAAACAAAGACAATGAGAGCAGGAGTCGGGAGAAGAGGGAGACAGTGTCAAAGGGAAGAAGAGAAACGAGCGTTAGCTCCACTCTGTCCACACCATCTTTAAAGCCCACACCCTCAGCCCTGCTGCCTGGGAACAAGGGCTCATGACTGCCACTTACTGAACAACTCCAAGGAGACCTGCCCCTCGTCCCCCACCATCCCTGTGGAAAGCGCCCCAAAGACTCACATGAGGTTGCTGAGAGACACGGGGACCAAGTGGGGCTGTTGCTGAGGTGGCTGCTGTGGCTGTGGCGGCTGTGGCTGTGGTTGTGACTGTGGCGGTTGTGGTTGTTGTGGTTGCTGGGGCTGCTGGGGCTGTTGCCAGGCGGTGACATTGCCTAGTGCCAGCCCCGCAGGTGAGCTGAAGGCTGGTAAGGAGGATAGCTCTGCACTGGGCAGCTGGTAATCTGCAGTAAGAGAGAGCGAGGGAACCTGATGGGGAGCACTTCACCCAGCCCTCTGGGGGAGGAGAGGTGGTGTCTAACCACAGATGGGAAAGAGTGAAGACATTCAAGGCACTGCTTTCTTTGACAGGGTGAGAAGACAAGTGGGTTTTAAAATACTATCTGTTTAAAGAAGCAATCAAGTATTGCTTTTACAAGGACAGTTACAAAAAGAAATGAGGCAGGGCAATGGAGAAGGCCCGGTATCCGTCTAACTGCAGTCTCTTTGCCTGTCCAGCATCAGCGGCGGAGAGGCAGCCGGGAGTTCTGGGGGGACCCTGGCCACAGGTATTTCCCCTTCGGCCCTGGTCCCACATGTCTAGACTCTCCCAGCAGGGCTCAAGCTGCTGCTCACACAGACAGAAGAAACGGGTCTACAAAAAGGGGCTTCCGGGCCGACGCTGGGGACATTGCGTTGTCTAGCTCTATACGAGCACTGATGTTAAGGACGACACTGTGACATCTGCCCTGTTAAGTGACCAGTTAAGCACCTCACCTTTCACACAGCTCATGTGCCTCATGTGCATCCTATTTGAGGTATTTAGAAATGCCTTCCATAGAGCCACAGGGATGTGTGCACAGTGGGAGGACATGCTAGGAAGAGATGGACTGTCCAGTCACCCCAACCCATGTTCCGCAGCCCTGTCTGTGCAGGAAGATGATTTGACCTCTGCAACATTCCCAGCTGGAGCTGAGGGGAGATGCTTGGCATCCGCCACTCACTGTGAGATCCTGGTCAAATACTGTCTATAGCAGGACAGCAATGGCCCTGGGTTCCCGTGAACATTCCACAATTCACCCAACACCACTGCGCACAGGAGACAGGTGCAGCCTCAGCTTTGAGGAGCTGCCTGTTCACAGGAAGAGCTAGTGGCAGCACTTGTGAGAACTCTGGGCACTTCACTACTTCTATTTATTGTTCTTCCACAGTACAGGTCTTACACAGGCAAGCACTAACCACTGCTCTGCTCTGCACCCCAGACCTCTCCACATTTTTTTTTTTTTTTTTTTTTTTTTTGAGACAGGGTCTCACTATGTAGCCATGGCTGACCTGGAACTCAATATGTAGGGCAGGTTGGCTTCTAACTCACAGTATCTGCCTGCCTCTGCCTCCTGAGTACTAGGATTAAAGGTGTGCACTACTATGCCCAGCTTTTTCTAGTACATTTAAACCTCACTCTAGCCTGGTCAATGCTAGTTACTAGTTTTTTGACATTTTTGTTTTAAGTTTTTTTTTCCTATTATTTAAAAAAATAATTTATTTTTATTTTAAGTGCATTTGGTGCTCTGACTGTATGTATATATGTGTGAGGATGTTGTATCCCCTGGAACTGGAGTTAGAGACAGCTGTAAGCTGCCATGTGGGTGCTGGGAATTGAAGCCGAGTCCTCTGAGGAGCAGCCAGTACTCTTAACTTCTCCAGACACTTGATTACTGTTTTTTTGTTTTGTTTTTGTTTGGTTTGGTTTTTCTGAGACAGGGTTTCTCTGTGTAGCTTTGCGCCTTTCCTGGAACTTACTCTGTAGCCCAGGCTGGTTTCGAACTCACAGAAATCCGCCTGCCTCTGCCTCCCGAGTGCTGGGATTAAAGGCGTGCGCCACCACCGCCCGGCGATTACTGGTTTTTTAAAGGCAATGTAAGAGAGCCAGGGGTGGTGCATGCTTTAATGCCAGCACTCAGGAGCAGAGGCAGGAGGATCTCTGTGAGTTTGAGGCCAGCCTGGTCTACAGAGCAAGATCCAGGACAGCCAGAGCTACACAGAAAAACCCTGCCTCAAAAGAACCCAAAACCAACCAAACCAACGAAACAAAATCAAAAACAAAAAAGAGCGGCATAAGAGCAGACGGTGGACCCAGGACACCTAACGCTTATTCTATAACCAGGGAGCCAGGCCAGAACCTCAGAGAGGCCAGAACTATCCAGCTGAGTCTTGCCCCATCCCCAGAACACCTAACGCTTATTCTATAAACCAGGGCGCCAGGCCCAGAACCTCAGGGAGGTCAGAACTATCCAGCTGAGTCTTGCCCCATCCCACCACACTAGCCCTATCTACTGGGAAGCTTATTCCCTTTTTTTTTTTTAATATTTATTTGTTTATTATGTATACAGTGTTCTGCCTGCATGTGTCCCTGCAGGCCAGAAGAGGGCACCAGATCTCATTACAGATGGTTGTGAGCCACCACATGGTTGCTGGGAATTGAACTCAGGACCTCTGGAAGAACAGCAGCCAGTGCTCTTAACCTCTGAGCCATCTCTCCAGCCCGGAAGCTTATTTCCTAAGGGCCAAGAGGTCACCCCCAGGCCACCTGGCTGCTTCCTCAAGTACTCTTGTAGTCACCACAGACAGACTTCTAAAGCTTGTCTCCACAAGGGCCAGGCCCATCTCTTACGCAGGCTATGACCAGAGCAGGTCGGCCAGCACCTGCTGGAGTTTGGCTTACACAATATGGGGCATCTACAAATGTCTGCTGCTGCTGGCAGCAGTCTGTTTAGCTACTCCTGTGGCAATAGGAGCTGGAGTCTTGCTTTCTCAGAGGCCAAAGCTGGAGTCCATGGCCAGCTCTGGTGAGAGCGAGCCTGTTTCAGGTTTACTGACATAAACTTCCTTCCTGTTTCACAAGACTGAGTGGGAAGAGCACAGAGAGCCACCACGGATTCCCAAACAAAGCTTCCAAGGAGACCTGATCTGTGTTTAGCCCACTCCCCCATTAGACTCAGGAAGAAGACTTCTCCTTAGCCTTGGTGGGGGGGGGGGGGGGCAGGCCAGAAGAGCCTCATGGTCCTCTCATCTACCAATATTCCCTGACAGGAGATAGGCCCACAGCAGCCCTTTCCCAGCCTCAGGATACAATAACCTGGGAGTGGGTATGCATGTGAAGCATCCAAGGAACAGGGAGCAGAGACATTTGGGCAGGAAAAATCTGCCCAGACTCATCAATAGCCTGCCCCCGGTAGAAGCATGACAAAGCCTGCTGCCTGCCACTCAGGATTTCTCCCACTGCTGGGAAGGGGAATAAAGGTGGGCTCTGTGGACATCTGTAGCGGAATCTGTATCTTAACACTCTTCGGCTCTATGAGAGCTTAGGGGGGTGGAAGAGTTTGGGGTCTTCTGGTCCAGTTTACTCTCACCACCACAAGAGTCTGAGCACAGGACACTCAACTATGAGGGCCAGTGGTCGGGGGAAAGGGATGACGAAGGCCTCCTCGGGAAAGAGCCTACTGCCACACGAAAGCTCCGACACGAGGGGACAAAGCACTTCCCTATCAGCAGGTCCTTCCCGACAGACACAGCAGTGTGAACCACAGGCCAGGACGGCCGGGGGCATCACACACCATCTGGGGACAGTACAAGTGGCTAACACGCCAGAACAAGCCTGAGACCCACGTCAGCCTGACTGTGTCCAAGCAGAGTTCTTCTCCCCAGAGGCCTTTCCCATGCCCCGGGTACCTGGTCACCTTTAGACCCACCCAGCCCTCAGCAGCCTTATCCTGCCCCCCACTCACTGCTGCACTGAGCCAGGCCCTCAGGAAACTAGCAAACCCACTCTGCACTCCCAGCCTCCTCCCTCACTTTCTTCCCCTCCAGGAAGCTTTGCTGCACTAACCATGTCCTCCTCCCCAGGCTCAAGCCTCAAGTCTATTAGCCTGGTGGCCTGAATCATCTGCTCAGGCCACCTCTCTGTCCTGCCTGCCTCACACTGGACAGAAGTTACTCTTCTATAAGGACCTATACTAAAAATAAAAGATACTCAGTTAAAAGTAAATTTCAGATAAACAATGCATTTAAAAAAAAGCCATAAGTATGTCTTTGGGATATACTTTAGCACAAAGCAAACAAACAAACAAGCAAATAAATAAATAGCCGGGCGGCAGAAGCAGGCAGATCTCTGTGAGTTCGAGGCCAGCCTGGTCTAGAGAGCGAGATCCAGGACAGGCACCAAAACTACATGGAGAAACCCTGTCTCAAAAAAAAAATAGCGAGGCAGTGGTGGCGCGCGCCTTTAATCCCAGCACTCGGGAGGCAGAGGCAGGCGGATCTCTGTGAGTTCGAGGCCAGCCTGGTCTACAGAGTGAGATCCAGGACAGGCACCAAAGCTACACTGAGAAACCCTGTCTCGAAACAAACAAACAAAACAAAAAATAAATTTAAAAAGCAAGGTTGTGACTTGCGGTAGTGGCACACACTGGCTGCTATTCCACAGGACCCAGGTTCAATTCCCAGGAAAAGCACAAAACTACACAGAGAAACCCTGTCTCAAAAAACCAAACCAACCAACCAAACAACCAACCAAACAAAAACCAAAGTAAATAAATAAACAAATAATGAATGAATAAAAAATACTTTAGCACAAAGAATGTCTTTGGGATATATGTAAGACTAAGAAAGTACTTGTTTTATCTGAAGTTCAAATTTACCCAAGAATTTTGTTGTTTCTCTGTTTATAAACTTAAAAAAAGATGTGTGTGTGTGTGTGTGTGTGTATGCCACATGTGTGCAGGTATCTTCAGAGGCCAGAGGAGGGTCTTGGATTCCCTGGAGCTGGAGCTACAGGTAGTTGTGAGTAACCCAATGTGTGTTCTAGGAATCAAACCTTGGCTTTCTGAAAGGGCAGTAAGTATTCCTAACTATTGAGCACTTTCTTTCTTTCTTTCTTTTTCTTAAGATTTATTTATTTATTATATATACAGTGTTGTTTGCGTGTATCCCTGCAGGCCAGAAGAGGGCGCCAGATCTCATTACGGATGGTTGTGAGCCACCATGTGGGTGCTGGGAATTGAACTCAGGACCTCTGGATGAGCAGCCAGTGCTCTTAACCTCTGAGCCATCTCTCCAGCCCCCTTGAGCACTTTCTTTAGCCCATTTTTTGTTTGTTTGTTTGTTTGTTTTTCGAGACAGGGTTTCTCTGTGTAGTTTTGGTACCTGTCCTGGATCTCACTCTGTAGACCAGGCTGGCCTCGAACTCACAGATCCGCCTGGCTCTGCCTCCCGAGTGCTGAGATTAAAGGCGTGCACCCCCGTCGCTCGGCTCCATTTTATTTTTGAGACAAGGTCTCATGTAGCTCGAACTGGACTCTAACCCCTATGCAGCTGAGGGTGATGCTGAACTTCTGACCCTCTGGTGTCCACCTCCTGAGTGCTCAGATTACAGGCAAGTGCTACCACATCTGGTCATAAAGTGCTAGAAACTGAACCCAAGGCTTCGTGCCTGCAAGGCAAACACTTAACCAGTTGAGCTACACCCGGAGCCTGGCATTCTGCTTGCATCTGTTTGAGGCCTTCCTCAGATTGGGGCCTATCAGCATTCTAATCCTCCTTCTCTGGCAGCTCATCTGCCCCAAGTACAAGTGCACAATACACCAAGTTTACGCGAGCACTCACCTGTGTTGTAGGCAGTGGGCATGGAGGAGAAGGGGAGGCCCTGGCTGAGTAAACTTGGTGTTGCCACGGAAACCACTGGGGTGGTGAGCGAGTGGGTAGACTGGGAGACCCCAAGGCGCTGGGCATTGTTCTGTAGGAAAAAACTGTCTGTCAAGAGATGGCAAATGGGTGGGCTGCCTCAAGGTGGCCCACCATACTACACCTGAACTAGGTCCCTGAATTCCAAGGGAAGGTACCATACACGGAGGCCCACAGACACAAACACCAAGTTAGTGTGTTTGGAGGCCCAAAGACTCACAGAGAAAAACATGCACACAGATTCACTTGCATCTGCACCCATGCAGAAAGGAAGGCACACGAGCAGCCTGGAGCTCAATATGAACACTCCAATATGAACACTGCCCTGGTTCCCGAAAGGAAGAGATGTGGTCCTCCCTTGGGTAGGACCACTGGGGTCTTCTCTACACCTGTTACAGTAGCAGATGCCCCAGGAGATGTATACTGACATCTGTGAATGGGATGTGGGATCTGGGGTGGCATGTGACTGCACGTATGCACACACGTGTGTAGGGCTGTCAGCTCCATCTGCTGCTGAGTCACTTGTTTATTCCAACTCCATGCTGGGGCCGAAACTGCCGGTGTGTTGGCCGCCAAAGCCTGCTTGCCTTTTCCAGCCTTTCTGGCCTCCTGTCAGCAAGCTGGGGGGCGGGGAAGCACCCTCCTCTTTCCTGGCTGGCAGTGGATATGTAAGCATGGGGAGGGGTTGTGGACGTCTCTAAGTGCCTGTAAGATGGGCTCAGGGTAGGAGCAAGTAAACAGGCAGGCAGGGAAGTCCTTGCTAAAAACAACTCCAGTCCTGCCTCGGGCCTCAGCTTCCCTGGAAAATGGACTTTCCTAGATTTTCTTGTAAGGATTAGGTCTGTGTCTTGGGTTCCAATGTTGCATGGACCTATGTGGAGTCAGGCTGCCAGTGGGACCCAAGGGCTCAATTCAGGCATTTGGCTGGGGCCTCAAAGGCCTGGGGATTGCCTCATGCTCTTTTCCAGATGCGCGCACGCGCGCGCGCGCACACACACACACACACACACACACACACCTATCTGAATAAATGCAGTAATACATAGACACATGCACACGCAGATCCACATGCATGCCATGTCCAGCCCTTCCCGCTGCCCTGTTCACCTCAGTATCCCACTCAGCTAAGCACAACTCTTGACAAACAACCAAGAACTAAACGTCACACATTAAACACAGAGGGAGAAGACTGGGACACATACGCATGCTGTAGACTGAATAACATGGGGCAAAGCTGGAACCCAAAGGCACTGCTAATGTCTCAGCCACACTTACCAAATCTAAATGGTCCTCAGTCTGGGAGCAGAAATAAAACCAAGAGGATGTTCAGGCTATGGCTTCTGCCCTTCCCACACAGCCACCCCATCCACCTGTCTGCCTGAGAGCAGACTGTTCTTTCTGACCCCAAAGGATAGCTAGGTATTCTGGCCATCTGATATCCAGGCAATGCTCTATCCTGGTCTCCACCAGCCAGACACTGTGTCCTTATTCTCATGACGCAGTGTGAATTCCTTTTATCACCCTCTCCATCCCAGAACCTTCTCTCCTACCTCCTGCTCATTTCTACTACCCTCTGGCCGGTACTACTGCATTCCAACCTCACAGAAGGCCCTCAGGGAAGACAAAGTTCACAAAAAAGCTATGTGCGCTCTTTCTCAAGAAGTCCTACATGCCACTAACCTTCATTTCTCTTGCTAGAGGTCACTCTTCTCTTCCCACCTCCCAGCCCCTGCCATAGCCCAGAAACCCACTCACCAAATGATGCATTAACCCTTTGCCTCCCTGGGAAGTGATGACCCGCAGATCAGGCTTGCGGCTGGGGGCTCCGAGCTGGGTGTTGTGGGTGGGTGGGGGTGGAGACTTGGCAGGGATGACTTTGTTTAGGCTGTTGCCATTGGCCACAGGGAGGAGGCCAGGGGAAGCGCGGGCACTGACGTAGCCATTCCCTGGAGAGGTGAGATGAGGAGAGAAGAAATGCAGGCCTGCCTCTGTCCCTGCCAACTGCCCCAGACAGGCATCTCTGCCACCTGGAGGCCCTCAAGAGGCAAGCCAGGGCTCAACATGGGCACTGAACTGCCTAAAGCCTTGGTCCCCAATCACTTAGTCCAAAGTCAGCTTCTAAGCCAAAGTGATGGGGCCAGGGGGAGTGTAGAGGTAGGCCAGAGGTAGAACTAAAAAAGCAACCAGGGTCACTGCCAGCCCTGGGCACATGAGCGAGTCCTACAGCCATGCCTTTGCCCAGGCCTAGCACTCTTCACTTCACACAGGGCATACAAGGACCAGAGTGGGAAAAGGTGGCAGACGACGATCTGGCCTTCATTGAAGAGCCCTGATCACCAGGGCTAGCCAATCATTTAGAGTGTTTCCTTGCCAGGAGCTAGAACTCTGTGCTTTTGATCAGTACAAGACAAGCCTGCAGCCTTGGGGAAGACAGACCACTGACTGCTGGTAATGGTGTTGCTGGCACCAGGGGCTGATGATACGGTCACTACCATAACTAGACTGGGGATAAAGGCATCACAACCATCTTTTATATTTGTTCTGCCAGGTACAGGCCTTCCACACACAGTATCTCACACATGTTCATATCAGCCAGGTGAGGTGCATAGGATGGGCAGAGGAGGAAACACGGCACCAGTTGAAAGAGAACTGATGCCTCGCCCAGGGCATCTCATTCAGTGCCCAACGCTGGACTCCTGGGCCCATGAGCAAGGAAAGGAAGGGGTGTACCTCTAGTACATGATTTCATGACTCCAATGCACAACTTTTGCTGAGATATCCTCACATCCACCCTTTACACAGAACCCACAATGACCAAGACAGGAAAGAGGTGGCTGGCACGTTGGCTGCGACTGAGCTGGAGGAGTCTAAGGTTCAGGAATGTAGGCAGTGACTACAGTGTGAAATCCCACCTTGCTCTGTCCCCCGAGAGCACACAGTTACTCTCCAAGTGTGTTTGCTGTCTCTACCCCAACTCCAAGCTCACTCTGGGAATGGCAAGAATGACAGGGTGACGTCAACGGAGACATGAGAAGGTCATCAGCCTGACACCAGCACGGAGGAAGAGTGGCTCGAAGTGGCTGGGCACAGGAGCAGCAGCAGCTCTGACTCTGGTACATATCTGTACAGGGACTCCATGGGAGCACAGAGGCCTGTGTGCATGGGTGGTACATGCGTGCCTACCATTTGTCTAGGCAAGTCCTGATCCCGACAAGATGCCCCATTTAATTTGAAAATGCGGGACCATGGCCAGACGTGGTGGCACATGCCTTTAATTCCAGCACTTGGAGGCAGAGGCAGGTGGATTCTATGAATTTGAGGCCATCTGGGTCTACATAGCAAGTTCCAGGCCAGCCAGGACTCCACAGAGACACCTGTCTCAAAAAAAAAAAAAAAAAAAAAAAAAAAAAATCGGGGGAGGGGGATGCTGGACCTTCCACTCCAGTGGCACTGTGAATCCATTCTTGGTTTGCCTGCCATTCTTCAGACCCACACCTCTGCTGACTAGTCACTGCTGTAGACACCAAAATAATCCAGGGGCCTAAAAATCTTCTGCTGCATCCTGCTCAGGCCCTGTCATTTTCCTCCCCTTTCCTCTAGGTCCCTGGCCACTCTGAGCCACCCTGTGGAAGGCAGCTACACTCACCAACGGGACTGGGGCAGGCTCCATTAGCACTGTTGAGGTCTCCACCCAGCATGGCTCCTGGGAGAAAAGCAGAGCTACCATGAGCTTTGTCTTGGGACTGCACAAGAAGAAGGGGCCCTGAGGAGTCCTAGGCTTTTCCCCTCAAGAGTCACACACATGCAGGATTGCTGTGAAGGGAAGGCCCACCGTTGAAAATGGAAGCTCAGAGGCCCTTCCACACCTCACGTCCACCTCAGCAATTCACCCTCCAGCCCACTTACCTGCACTAGCAGGTCGCTGAGGCAGGCCCGGAGAAACACTGTTTCTCTGTAGTGCTGGCTGCTGGGGGGACAGGAGCCGTGGGTCCGTAAGGGACGAAGTCACCAGGGAAGGAGTGACCAGAGAGCCACTAGGATTGCTGAACTGCATGGAGCTCTGATTGGACACGGGCACTGTGACAGGCATGGCAAAGTTGGGGGCCGGAACAGATGACTAGACAGAAAGATGGAGGGCAGTGTCACACCAGGTGAACCTCTCACCCGGACCCACTTTGCCCAAGAGGGTAGGCACAAGGGTTCTCTGCTTCCTGGACTATATCTCCAAGGGCCAGCAGCTCAGGCTCCCTGCCTTAGCCCTCTTGCAGCCCTGCCTTCCTCCCATCAGAAAGGTGAGAGTACCTTACAATACAGTACAGCACTGGTCCACGGCAGGAGAGCAAGGCTCTGTCCACCGCAGACAGGACTGCGAACCCCCAGTGGAGGTGGGTTAGTCCTCAGCCAGGCAGGACACACCGGGAGCAAGTTAGTGCCCTGGGTACAGACCCCAACTCACACGCTGCTCAGACCACGGCTTCACTAAGTGGCCACCCACCACCTGGCCTGCTTCCGGAGCAGCTCCAGGCCCTCTCTGGCTTCCCTTTAGCAGTCTGGCTTCCGTTAAACAAAGCTGAGTGCCTTAGGCATGGGCGCCAAGCAGCCCAAGGGGGGCCTCTCCCCAAAATAACAGGACAGAGAACGTACTCTTGCTTGCCCTCTGAAGACTCACGGCATTTGCACACATTATGCTGGTGAAGGGACACTGTCTGTCTCTCTAGCTTATGCAAGAAGGACTTTACAAGAGGGTTGTCGAGACCAAGGTCAGGAGTTCCTCAGTGGTCAGTGCCAGCTCAAAGATGGCTCAGCCGAGGACACCCCAGAGGCAGCCGAGGGCCGGGCAAGGCTGGGTAAAGCCACACCATGCAGCGCAGGAGGTTCTCCTCCATGCGACTACTCACGGCCAGTCTATAACTCTGCATCATCTTATCAAATTCCTCGTCTATCTTTTTATACTTCTCCTCCGTCTGGGGGGTCAGGGCAAACGCCTCGTCCACCTCAGGGCTCTCACATTCCCTGTGCTTCTTGTGCAGCGCCTGGGGGGAGGGGCCGAAGGGGACCAGAGAAAAGGTGAGGAGGGCTCACCCCATAGCGCCTGAAGAGCCCATCCAGCTCCTCGCTGGCCCGCCGGTACTTGTCCTCCAGCAGGGGGCTTTGCTCCAGGGAGTCCTCCCCATCCGGCTCTGGGCTGTCACAGCCGTTGAAACCCTTCTTCCTCAGGGTCTGCAACCGCACCACTCAGTCAGCCAGCCAGCCAGGGCCCTCCCGCCTCCTCCAACCTTCTCTCCCACGAAGCTCCAGCCCTCCCTCAGAGCCGTCCTCTCCCGCAGACATACACAATGTTCCCTTGGGGCCCTGAGTGAAGCGGACCTGACCTAGTGCACTGGCATGGATGGGGCAGGTATGCTCCACAGCTCCATCTAGGGAGAAGCCAAGCCCAGCCTGCTCCCCAAGGATGTGCTTGGGGGTGGGGGCTCTGCCCATCCAAACCCTAGGTTCTATTTAGGTGAGAGACCTGGATGGAGACAGGAGAGGAAGATGATACAGGAAAGCACAAAGGACCTACACTTACGGAGCTTTTTGCTCTGTACCACCCCAGACTCCACCCAGAGGCCAAAGCCTTGCACGTGACCTTAAAGTGTATCTGTGGCAGACCTAAGTACCTGTGGTTGCTCAAAACTTTAAAGATACTTGCTTCATATTTTTTTTTTAAATCACATTTATTTATGTACGTGTGTGAGCTCACATGCCACAGCACATGAGTGCATGTCAGAGGACGAGCTGCAGGTGCTGGCTCCCTTCCCTCCACCACGGGGATCCTGGGAATTAAACTCAGGTTCATCAGGTTCAGCAGTAAGTGCTTTTCCCTGGGAAGCCATCAACAGCCCTTGCTTCATTTTTACTTTTATTTATTTATCTTTTCAAGACAGGGTTTCACTGTGTAGTCCTGTCTGTCCTCGAACTCACAGAGATCCGCCTGCCTCTGTCTCCCCAAGTGCTGGGATTAAAGGCGTGCACCATTACCTGGCTTGTTTTTTTTTTTTTTATTTTTTAGTTTATTTCATGTGTATGTGTGTTTTGCCTGCATGTATGTGTACAACAATAGTGCCTGGTGCCTGTGGGGTCAGAAGAAGGTGGATGTCGTATCCCCTGGAACTGGAGTTACAGACAGCTGTGAGCTGCCATGTGGGTGCTGGGAATCCAACTGGGGTCTTCTGGAAGAGCAGCCAGTGCTCTTAACCTCTGTGTCCCAAGTTGGCACCCTAGAGTGAGAAGTATGAGCTGGCTGTCTTGTGTGTTCACAGAACAACCTTGTAAGCCAGCACTGCTCACTCTGTGGAGGAGACCATGGCCCAGAGAAGCCAAACCACCTGCCTAAGGCCATGTGGCCAGTAAAGATCAGAGATGAATCCCAAAGCTCACGTCCTTCCACATTTCACATTTTGACTCTGAAACAGAAGGCAAGAGCCACAGACTCATAAAGGAACAGGACAGAAAGGAGTTACGGGAACGAGGGAGACACAAAAGGAATATCCCAGAGGATGAAGGAAGGAGGTGCTAAAGAGAGAGCAGAGGACAGGAGGATGCTCCTCAGACCTGGCAGACCACATGTCTCATGCCTTCGCTGCCACGCCCCTCCTTCCTTGGGGCCTGGGTTCAGGAGAAGAGACAGGTTTACACACAGGCAGAGGTGGGCACAGGCGCACCTCAATGATGTCAGCATTGGTGCGGCTCTCGTGCGGCTCGTTGTACTCTGTGTACTTGAGCAGCACCTTGTCCATGTCGGTGCTGGCGTACTGGAACAGCTTGTTCGAGTGGTTGAAGATGATGAGGGCGATCTCACAGTCGCACAGCACACTCAGTTCGTAAGCCTTCTTCATCAGCCCAAACTTCCGCTTGGTGAATGTCACCTGCAGGAGAGTGGGGGGTGGCCAGGTCTGACCAGAGTCCCTCTGCCTATAGATAGCTGGACATAGCCCCTACCCTAGAGTTCCACTCTAGGGTAACTCAGCCACTGTCTATGGAAATCCCTGGTCTAGAAAGGAACAAAATGGCACCCCTTGGCCAGACCACAGCCAAGACACACCAGAGCCAGCCTCAGACGGGGAAGGATTTAGATGGCCAGGAGGCCACATCTCTGTGCAATGGGCTGAGAAGGGCAGCTCCCAGGTGAGGAGAGGAAGATTCCTGCTGGGATGAGGGAGCTGTGGGTGTGGCAATGGGGTTAGGCCCTGGCCCATCTCAGACCAGCAGAGTTAAAGAGGCACACAAAGGTGCTCCTCTCCCAACTCAGACCCACTCCCTTTTACAACCTCCAGTGAGTCCCTGGGTTTCCAAGAACCCCTCTTCTAGAGCTGGTCATGGGTGACAGAAGCTGGCTCCCTGCCCTTGCTCTCCTACCACATGGGGCTCTGGGACCTCCTCACCTGGCGGTTCCGCTCATCAGTGATTCGCTGGATCTGAATCTTTTTCCTCCCCATCTTCTCCGGGCTCCTTAGTGCCAGAGAGGAAGGGGCTGCTGGGCGTTGGTCAGGAGCCTCACACTGTGCTCATGAATGTCTGGGACTAGCGTTCAGTTCATGGTCTGCAGAACACCTATGCACAGCCTCCTGGGAGGGGAGGGTCATAAGAAGACTGTTAGACCCCAGCTTTGTTACTTGAGATGTGGGCCAGGCTCACTACAGCTGTGACAGACTAGTGGCATTTCTGCCCCATCCCCAAATTGTGGCAATATTGGCTCTAGAGGAAACGCGCGCGCGCCCCCGCCCCCCCAATACCAAGTTGGGCTCCCACTGGGACCAGTACTTGGTCTAGGCTGATTCCCCAAGTCACTGCTCTCCTTGGGCTTAAGGTCACACAGAAGGTACAGGGCTCTTGGCTTCTGAAGGTCTGCTTCTTGGAGAGCACCCAGACCCGACTCTCTGTAGAGCTTGTCTGTACTACGTGTGGTACCCCCCCTCCACCTCCTACCCACCACCACCTGGACCAGGAGAGGCTCTGATGCTGAAGCCAGAGTGAGAACATGTTGAGCTAATGCCTACCCAGACTGAAAGCAGCAGGCAGAGAGAGAGGATGTCTGATGCTAATGAGGGTGTCTGGTGCCCCAGTCCAGGGTGGCAGCAGGGCCCTTACATGGACTAACAGAACCTGGGGGCAGTGGAGGCTGGAGTTTTAGAATGCCAACCCCAGTCAGAGCTTGTGTACATCAGTCTGCTTCATTCGCTCAGTCCAAGTACAGTTTTTGTCTGAAGAAAGGGTGTCCTGCTGCTTAGACACAGACAAGCTACTCTAGGTAGGAGGGCAGCAGATCTATTTTCCCTAACTCCTCACCTCATACTGGGGACTGAACCCAGTGGTCCTGCCCTCGCTGGGAAAGTGCTCTGCCTAGCTGCATCCTCAACTCCCACTTTTATTTCTTGAGCTAAGGTCTTGCTGAGTTCCCCAGGCTGGCCTTTAAATTTGTGATCCTCCTGCCTCAACCTCCCGAGAAGCTATGGTGAAGGAAGGCCTGCACCACAGCCTGGCTTTTTTCTCTGATGACTGTGGTGTCAAGGATGGAACCTGAGGGTTTCACACTCCCTAGGTAAGTGCTCCATCACTAAATTCACTCTAATTCAGGCCAGTGTTTCTGTAACGGGCCAGAGCATCAGCACTGCCATAGATTCTGTAGCAACGTTTAGCTCTGCTCTAGCAGCCTGGCTGACAACAACTGAAGGAGACGTGGTGGTGGTGGTGGGTGGTAGTGGTGGTGGTGGTAGTGGTGGTGGGTGGTAGTGGTGGTGGTGGCGGCGGCGGCGGCAGCGGCCCACACCTTTGATCCCAGCACTGGGAGGCAGAGGCAGGTGGATCTCAGTGAGTTGAGACCAGCCTGGTCTATAGAGCGAGATCCCTGCTGGGGGGGGGGGGGGGGGACAACAAACATAAAAATAAACTAATGGGGGTGGGGCGGGAGATATGCAAAGAATGTGCTCTGGGGAACTAAGAGATCGCTTAGCATTTAAGAGCCCTTGCTGGTCTTGGAAAGGACCTGGGTTCAGTTCCCAACACCCATTTGGAGAGTTACAAATTTTTTTTTTTATTTTGTGAGGTTTGAGGGGATATGTGTGGGGGAGCAGGGTTTTTCTGTGTAACAGCTCTGGCTGTCCTGGAACTTCCTTTGTAGACCAGCTGGCCTCGAATTCAGAGAGATCTGCCTGCATCTGTCTCCCGAGTGCTGGGATTAAAGGTGTGCACCACCACCGTCCAGCCTACAGGTGTTTAACTTCAGTTGTAGGGGATCTAATGTCATCTGGTCTCATAGGCACTACACAAATATGGTGGACAGACACACACTCACAGCAGGGAAGTACGGGGTTCCTCAGCAACAGCTGGGTGCCGAGCGGAACCTGTGCCTTCCTAGCCTATTCCACAAGGCCTGAAGGGTACAGAGTAGGTGAAGAAGTAGGTGAAGGCACCTGACTATGATGGGATGGGGGGAGCAACGGTTTCTACCTGCTCAGGACCATCACAGATCACATGCCTGACCCTCAGGATTCACTGTCTAGCTTCCACTCTGCTTAAGTATCTACAGAGAATAGCCTAGCTCCTTTTCTTCCCCTGAAAGGAAGTGTTTTGTCTGCATGTATGTAAGGTCACCAAAAGAGGGAACCAGCACCCTGTTCCCTTACTCTGATATTTGAGGAGCTCCACAGTCCCTGGCCTTCTACTGCCCACCCTCTATATCCCAGACCACCAGCAGCCTAGAAAGCCCTGCGTGACCCAAATAAGCAGCAGCCACTTCTCCTGGCCTGTGACACCAACTCCCTGCAGAGGCTCCAGCCGGAACTTCTAGATTTACCCGGACTCTTCAGGCCATCCACAAACTGCCTCCCCATTGGTCTGAGCAGGTGGGAAGGCACACTGGGGAAAGGGCTATGACAGTTGACCTTTTTAGGGTTTCTCTGGCCCAGCCTCGGGAACTCCAATCCAGAACCACAGTGCAGGGACTCCTGAGCCCACTGGCCATGCGGCTGCCTTCCTTCTTGCCCCCTTTCCCATCTCCTGCCCACAACATGCAGTCCGTGGACAGACTCTTGATGACAGAACCTCTCTCCTGCTTGTGGCCAGTGCTGTCTCCTCAGGCAGGGTGGCGTGAACTGTCTCAGTGTTTTCAGTTTTCCAAACAGCTAGTCTAACAATCTTTCTAGCATTACAATCTCTAAATAACTATGCTTCTCTTCTGTGCCTGATTCCCCCAAGGTTGGAGCTTCATGAAGACAGGAACCACATTTGTCTTTTTACTATGCTATTGCCTGTAGGAAAGAGCCCAGGAAATACCTACGCAAAGAAAATATGAGCCTGTGAGAAGTCCTTCCTGCAGTCTAATCTCTGTCCGTCCTGCTGTTCTCACTGTCCTCTGCAGAGCTGAAGCCTTCTACCAGCTGCCCTCAAAGCCTATCAGCTTGGACACCACCAACCCTCCAACCAACCCTGACACCCTCACCCTCATCCCTCTCTACACTCAGCTCGACTGGTGCAGAGGGTGAGACTCTAAGTCTTCTAAGGAGCAGCCCTGAGCACATGGAGATGGAGAGGATGGGGTTGCTTAGGCAACTGTCGCCTGGCAACCAGCTCCCTGGCTGATCTCCTACACTGCCCCCCCACATCCCTGCCGCATGCTGGGGGAGCTAGGATATGAGAGAGATCATGGCTGAGAAGGCAGGGAAGCCAGAAAGACCCAGTGAGTATCCTTTAGCAGAGGGAATCTGTCTGTTTAAGAGGTCAGGCCCCAGCAACCCTGACTCCCTCTACACTAGCTCAGCCATTTATAATAAGCCCATGCCTCCCAGGTCTTGCTCACTGCTGTTCTTCCTCTGCCAGAGGACAGACCCTGCCTTGGGCAGTCCTTCCTCCTAGCTAACCACAAGTTCTTCTACAAAGCAGGCTCTGTCCCCTCTGCTGCCCGCTCCACACTGCTTCAAATTCTTTGGAAGCCCTGGGGCAAGAATATGAACTCGGTCTCGGTTCTGGAAGAGTGGTGTCTGGGCAGAGATGGTCACAAAGGACCTCAGACTGACCCAACTTTCCTACTCCATCAGGAGATTTTAACGAACACCTGGGCCTGCTTAATTAGTCCTCTGTTCAGCAATCTAACTAACTGCCAGTAGCCAGAGACCTGGGCTTCTGCTCTCCAGATGCAGGCTCTGCTCCTGCATGGCCTGGACAGTGCCCAGTCCCCCCTTCTCTCACGCCCTGGCCTTTGGGCTGCTTTTTTTCTTTTTTTTGCAGGGGCCGGGGGTGGGGGTTGAGAAAGGGTCTGTGTAGCACTGGCTGTCCTGGAACTCACCCTATAGACCAGGCTGGTCTTGAACTCAGAGATCTGCCTGCCTCTGCCTCCCAAGCGCTGGGATTAAAGGTGCATGCCGCCGCCGCCACCACTGGGCTGCTGCTCTTCTAAGCCTAGTCTGCAGCTCTTGGCAGACATGCTAAGGTGCCAGGCCCCAGGCCTTCCTATCCTGACCTCAGACCACAGCTGTGTCACAGCGGTGGCCCTCAGCAGACTCTAGCTGGGCAGGGTGGTGTTCCCAGCAGGCCGTGACAGCAGCAGCAGAAAGAAGGCACTGGTTGGTGGTATCTGTAGGGAAGCCGACAGCAGGGCGGCGGCGGTGGGGGGGGGCAGGAAAGCCTGGGATCTAGGATCCCATGGCAACGTGCACTGTTCACACGCAAAAGAGGGACAGGTGAAAAGCAAAGGGGCACTGGTTTGAAGGATCATGGGAGAATAGGTCCTTGTCTCCCTAACGCCTTGTCACACCTCTTGGTACCTGAGCAATAGTCAAACCACTCTAGGGTTTCAGAATGAGGCATCTCAGTTCCTGTGTGAAGGGCCTGGGTGGAGATGGGAGTGGGGTCAGGACTGGTTCCTGTAGCCAGTACTGAAGGGCCAGGCAGGAACATCCTTTCCCCAGCAGTCTCCAGAGTTCCTCTCAGCTCTTTAGCAATGCACCCCTATTTTCTGCTCCCTCATAGCCTTCTCCTCTGAGTACTGTGTCCTGGTTGCCTAAGGCTCTAAAAAGCTGCATGCATCTGACTCTGGAGCCCTATACCAGCAGGCTCCAATGGAGCAGAGGCCAAAAAGGCCAAGCCCTGGGCTCTTCCTGAAGGGAGTGGGAGACAAGGAGGTATCTGCTCTCATTAGGCACTCCCCCTCCCTTCTAGGCCGCTGGGGGGCCTCAGGCTGGGACTCGGGAAAGCAGGCTGCACTGAAGACAGCTGTCACCCTCCTCCACCCTCTCCCCGGCAGGGCTGCAGGGCATGAAATAAGCAGCCGGCGCTGGGGGAGGGGGCGACAATCCAATCCACCTGTCACCCCCACAGTCGGGCAGCCTGCTTGCTAGTGGGAGGAGGCGTGGGCAAGGTGGGGACAGATGCACAGACACAGGAAGGAGACAGAAAGGGGCCAGTGAGGATGGGAGAGCAGCTGGGCTGGGCAGCCGAGGGGTGCCCCGGCAGCCTGCCCTGGGGCCACTCTTCAGGCCTTCTCCTCTCCTCCCTGCCCCAAGCTAGCTCTCTTCTCCAGAGTTCTCAACAGCATATGAAAGCACAGGTCCCGAGCCTTCTAAGTTCTGTC